GGAAGCTGCAGGGTTCATGGGAACTGTTTGTGCATGAGCTCCCGGATGGAGCTTGGGGAAGATGCTGGTGTCTGCAGTGGCCCCGGGGCCCAGGGAGCATTATAAACCTAGTGCCTTTTCTCTCCCCTCTCCCCCCACTGCACCCTCCCGCCCCCCGTCCCCCCCCCAACCAAGTGGGCCTTTTCATTTATCTTTGCCGCTGTAATTACCGTTTAATTTCCTCCTTACATTAGTATTGCAAATGCCTCCAACAACTTTATTTTCTTGCTTTATTTATACTAGTGAAAAGGCACTTAGAAGCAAATTACGCTCGCCTCCACATCTCTCTCTACCTGTTTATCTCGGTGTTTATGGGGTGCCTATCATCACGCTATCTGGGCATTTAGACAGTCCCATTAGATCAAATTCATTACCGGAGAGAGGAAGAAAAACATCCTCCTCCTCTGGGCTTCCGCAGGGGCTGCTCGGGAGAACACCAGAGGCTCGGCCCCGGGGACACCTGGCAGCCGGCAGCCTGCAGCCCATAGCGAGGAATGCTTTTTGGCCAAGAAGTGAATCCTCTCTGGGAGGGAGGCTTGGAGCGCTTACGAACTAATTTGTAAGATCTATCAGGGCTTGGAGGGGGGAGAGAGGGTGGTTCTCAATATGTTGGGCATTTAAAATTGGAAATGATCTCGATTTCGGTGCTCTCCAAATATCAAATTGAGCCCATTTTTCACAAAGGGTGGCTTTGCGCGCTGAGCAGCAGCGACTGGAAGATTCCAGATGTTAACTCCTTCTTTCTCATTCTGGACTTCCGGAAAGGGCCAAGTTCAAACACCCTGGCCTCTCCTTGCAGTTGACAGCTCAGGCCCTGGGCCCTGTCGTCCCCTGCGTGGTTTCCGGTCCTTCCAGCCACTGCCTTCAGTCCTTTGGCCTCCCTCTGTGTTTATGGCCTGCTCTCGCCTCTCAGACAGCCGTGACCGCCACGAGCCTCCTGAACTACAGCTGGGATCCTGGCATGTATCCTCCGTGCGCTGTCCTGGGCCCACCAGGACTGTCACCTCCCTCCTTTGTGGCTGGATCTGTCAGAGGAGCTCATGTGGGCCCAAATAGGAGACTCCAGATACCATCTTGCTGGCAAATACGTGGTCATGAGGGGAAGGCAGCGGGCTGTGCTGGGAGTATCACATACATTTTCCACCTACGATATTCTCAACTTATGATGGGCTCCTCAGGAGCCAGGAGCTTCTTCCAGGTCTCCCATGCAGGTGCAGGGGCCCAAGGACTCGGGCCATCTTCTACTGCTTTCCCAGGCCATAGCAGAGAGCTGGATCGGAAGTGGAGCAGCCGGGTCTCAAACCGGCACCCGTATGGGATAGCGGCAGTGCAGGCGGGCGGCGGTTTTAACCCGCTGCACCACAGTACCGACCCCATTTATTTATTTTTACCTACTTGAAAGTCAGAGCAGCAGAGAGAGTGAGAGTGAGGGCGAGAGCAAGAGAGAGAGAGAGAGAGAGAGAGAGAGCGAGCTCGTCCGCCTCTTGTCACAGGTTCTGAGAATTACAATGTGGGTATCCCTGGGGGCCCATCATTCGGGCGAACACAGCCACTGTGCACCGCCTCCCTAGTGTGGCTGGATACCAGTAGTGTTAATGGGAGACTGAGTGGCATGGAAGAGTTGTGTCCTTAGCTTGCGGTCCCCTAAAAGCAGGAAAGGACTTGGGCACAGGTCCTTCTCCTTCTCCCTCTCTTGTAATGGCACCTGCCACTGGATTTAGGCCTGGAGCTCCTTAGTGAAGTCTACAAGTCTGCAAAGACCCTTTGCACATTCTGGATGCACTTATCTTCGGGGGAGGGGCGGGTCACCATTCAGCCCCCTACACAGGCGGAGTGGAAGTATTCATGCAGACTCTGAGTGGCGGAGGTCGCTCCCAGGAGTGGCACATCTTAGCCTCCCACTGCCGCCGGGGAATGCAGAGCTGGGCCCAGGGGACCCAGCGTGGGCTGCCGTACAGGGATGTGTAACTCTGCTACAGAGAGCCGAGAGGCAGGGAGTCTTCCTGTGTAGCATGAAAGGGGTCCACGCCCTCCCTCCTCACCCCACCCCCGAGCACCCTGGCCTTGCCGCGGCCCCCGGAATAGAAGAATCTCAGGAAACACTCTTGTCTACCCAGAAAGCCGGAGAAATATTGAGGTGCAAGGTCCATCCCTGGCCCCCTCCGCATGCGGGCCTGGGAGCTTGGCTAGGAGGCAGCACAGCCGATGAGGCTGTCCATCTTGCCAGGCAGAAAGAGGGGCGGGGGTGGGGCTGGGGCATGTGGGGAGAAGTAATTAGTTTGATGAATCTTCCTTTTAAGTCGTTCCCTACATGGGGCTTTTGCGGCCTTACAGGCTCAGTGATGCATTCCCTGAGTTTTATGAATCCTTAAACAGGAACCATTTTTCAAAAGAGAGAGGTGAATGTAATCACCTGTGGGCACACAGCCCAGCTGTCCCCGGTCTGGGACAAGGACGCCCGATGAGGCCCCTGGCTGCCCGAGGTGACGGGCTGGGACCCCACGTCCCATCCACAGCCCCTTTCTCCGTGGCCCCCTGCTAATTGGCTCTGCATCCGGGGCTACAAGTTCAGTACAACCACCTTCCTTCAGCAGCAGCCCAGGACCTGGCCCGAGAGAGGGCTTGGGCTGTGTTTCTGCAGGACAGAGTGTGCCATCTTTCCTAGGCTGGGTGACGAAGCTCGGCCCTATTCTCTGGTGTAGGTCACAGAATGAGCAGCCCATTTCCCCTGATCCTTTGCAATGCCCTCCCCTTCGGACCTGGAACTCCGTCGTTGGACTTGCTTTGGCAAGTTGCAAATGGAAAGAAAGCTTCCACAGTGGTGTTTGTCACTTGCTGTGCTTCTAATCTTGCAGTGCCACGTGAACATGTCCAGACGAGCCTGTTGGAGGGCGAACGCCACGCTCCGGTGAGCCCTTTGATCCAGCCAACAGCCAGCCAGCCTCCAAGAGCAAAGCCTCCTGGCCGACCACAGGCCACGGGCCAGGCACGGGGAGCGCTATGGTTTTGCTGTGGTCTGTGTGAGTCTCCTACAAGTTCATGTGCTGGAAGCTCCGTTCTCCGAATGCTGATGCTCAGGGGGTCTGACCTTTAAGAGGAAGGTGGTTAGGTCACGGGGGCTCCACCCTAGGAAGGGATAAATGTTGGTCTCAAGGAATGAGAATTCTGGCCGGCGTCGTGGCTCATTTGGTTAATCCTCCGCCTTGCGGTGCCGGCACCCCGGGTTCTAGTCCTGGTAGGGGCGCCGGGTTCTGTCCCGGTTGCTCCTCTTCCAGTCCAGCTCTCTGCTGTGGCCAGGGAGTGCAGTGGAGGATGGCCCAGGTGCTTGGGCCCTGCACCCGCACGGGAGACCAGGAGGAAGCACCCGGCTCCTGGCTTTGGATCGGTGCAGTGTGCCGGCCATAGCAGCCATTTGGGGGGTGAACCAATGGAAAGAAGACTTTTCTCTCTGTCTCTCTCCTCTCTCTCACCGTCGAACTCTGCTTGTCAAAAAAAAAAAAAAAAAAAAAAAAAAGGGGTGAGAATTCTCTCAAGAGCAGGCTCCTCTAAAGTGAGGCCTCCCACCTGCTTGATGGCTTCTCCCCACAGCCATGTTGGGCCGGGGCCAGGAAGACTCAGGCACCATGCTCTCAGACCTCCAGAGCCGTGAGCTGAGCAAACTTCTTTTCTGTATGAAGTAGCTTGTCAGCAACACACAACAGATGAATCTGAGGAGCTGTTAGCGCCCCAGGGACATGGAAGACGTCCAGTCGCAGTTATCCCAGCCGAGGGGGACACGAGCTGGGGAGCTTGCCCCCACAGTCCTCAACCCTTGATTGAGGACTGCTCTTAGGGGGCCGTGAATGCCCAGCTAGTCTAACCTAGGGGGTTCCCAGCAAGCTTAGGAGGCCACAGGAAGATCTTAGGCCAAGAACCACAGAGCCTGGCATGAAACAGGTGTTCGGTAAGGCTACTTCCGGGTCACCTGGCATTCTGCATGAGGCAACCTGCTGAGCCCAGCCCAAAGGAGCTACCCTAGACTGCTGAAGCAGAGAGTGCTGGTTGGTTTAAGCCATTAAGTGCCGGGATGGGTGTGTGTGTGTGTGTGTGTGTGTGCTTTGTTACGTAATGAGAATTATCTAACTCCCTAACCTCAGCTTTTGGTGATTCCTAGAACCGTACCTCGAACATTCTGCCAGCAAAAATAAATTCACGGGACACACAGGTTGTGGTACAGCATGCTAAGCCACCACCTGCTACACCAGCATCCCATATGGGCACTGGTTCAAGTCCCAGCTGCTCCAATTTGGATCCGGGTCTTTGCAGATGCACCTGGGAAAGCAGCAGCAGGTGGCCCAAGTGCTTGGACCCCTGCACCCATGTGGGGGACCTGGATGGAGTTCCTGGCTTCTGGCTTCAGCCTGGCCCAGCCTTGGCTGTTGTGGCCATTTGGAGAGTGAATCCATAGATAGAAGATTTCTCTCTGTCTCTCTCTCTTTGTTTCTATAACTCTGCCTTTCAAGTAAATAAATAAATCGTTCAAAACCCTAAAGCCACTTTGCACTCCCTTTGAGGGTTTTGTGATGGACAAAAGGAAGTCCAAAGCTTTGATCTTCTTGTTTCTAATTTGAGGTCAGTCCCCAAGTATAAGTTTGTTCCCATGACTGGGGTGGCCTCCCTGGGGCTTGAGTTTCATGCAGGCAAATAGAGCAGCCCCCTGCTCTGGGAGGTATGGAGGCATTGGCTCAGTGCACAGCTGGTAGCTTGTCCTCTGAGGGGCTTAGCGTGTTGTCCCTAAGGTGGCCCAACTCTGCATATTCCAGATCCCACACCTGTATTTGCCATGCACTGCCAGCCCCAGAACCCCAGGCTGCATAGCGCTGCAGCCATGCAATAGAGGGAAACCTAGAAGAGCTGGCTCCAGAACATACAGCCTCTTTTTTTTTTTTTTTTTTTAAGATTTATTTATTTGAAAGGCAGAGTTACAGAGAGGCTGGGGGGGGGGGTCTTCCATCTGCTGGTTCACTCCCCAGATGGCCGCATTGCCAGAGCTGCACCAGGGGGCAGAAGCTTCTTCCCGGTCTCCCACATGGGTGCAGGGGCCCAAGCACTTGGGCCATCCTCTACTGCTTTCCCAGGCCACAGCAGAGAGCTGAATCAGAAGTGGAGCAGCCCAGACTCGAACCGGCGCCCACATGGGATGCAGACACTGCAGGTGGCGGCTTTACCTGCTATGCCACAGCGCTGGCCCCATCCATGAGTCCTTTCTGAGCAACGCTGGAGTGTCTGTTGGATGAGGCCTGGGCTTGTCTGCCTGTACTGAGGCCACAACCATGGTCTGGTAGCAGAAAAGGGGCAGGACTCCTGGCCCGATCTGCCTCTTAGTGTCCCCCAAGCAGGGTGGGCCTGGCTGGTAACACAGCCCTGCCTGGCCCTGAGCACCCTTCTTACCTTTCCTTCAAAATGGGGGGGGGCCTGCACCACGGGAAAGGACCCCCCAACCAGCTGCTGGGCATCCCAGTCATGTTTCAGGGGAAAGATTGTCATTTTGGATGGATCCTGAGCTGAGCCTTTGTGGGGACAAATGGCAGAAGCCAGCAGGGGCTCCATGGGAGAAGTGGACGCTCACAGAGGCCCTTTCAGACCCTACCTGCCTGGTTGGATCTAGTGGCCAGCAGAAGAGTCTATGTGTGGCGATGCATGTGTGCCCGTGTGCTTGCCTATGCACGAACCCGTGTGTAAATGGGAGATAAACCCATCGGAAGTTGAGACCATCATAGCGGAGAATACATGGACTCCCTTAACCCAGGACCTGTCCCAGCTCAGCAGCGCAGCATATTGTGGAGTGTGGGTGGTCTCCCCTGGTGACGTCAGGGCTTCCTGGCACCTGCACTCGCTGCCATTGCCCAGCATTGCCAGGCAAGATCTGATGGTCCAACGCCAGCCCGGACAAGAGCCAAAGTTAACATTCAAAGTATGGTTTCAATTAAACGCGTGTTGTTTTCACGGCGGCATAAAGTGAAAAGATCCTAAGTGGAGCTGTCGCGGGTCGGGGACTGCCTGTACCATGTGTGGGTGCAGGTGCACGTGTGTGAGTGTGTCAGAGAGTGATGTGTGTGCGGGTGTATGTTTGCCTGTACTTGTGGATACTCAGGGGTGCCCTGTGTGTGCCCATCTAGGCTATGACGTGTGTAGTGTCAAGGGAAGGTGTTATTTGGGGCCCACAGCCAGAAACCCCCCGGGGCTTAGGAACTAAAGGTGCCACCTGGAGTGAGGCTCCGCGAGATTCACTCAGGGTCTAGCTCCCCCTCAAGTCCCGAGCAGAGGCTCCTTCCTTGGCTCCCCGGCCCAGCCTCGTCTTCGCCAGGTTGCAGGTGGGGAGCCCCGGGGTCAGCATCTCCGCGGTCATTCACATCACCTCCTTCCAGCCCGTGCGCCTCAAGCGTCAGGGTGAGGCACAGGTCAACCGCCACCTGCTGGGCTTACCCGGAGCTGCCTACAGCGCCGACGATGACCAGAAGTAGCCTTTTCTGAGCGCCTGCTGTATGCCAGCCTCTGGGGTTTTCTCCAGCCTCCCGAGGCTGTTGGGCGGCCCTGGGTTAGGCTGGTATAGCTGACTGTTCCCACCAGGGGCTGAGTGACTTGGGGCTCCTGCGGCCCTCTGCTGGGATAACTTTTTTTCTTTAAGATTTATTTATTAGAAAGGCAGAATTAGAGAGAGAGAGAGAGAGAGAGAGAGAGAGAGGACATCTTTCCATCTGCTAGTTCACTCCCCACGTGGCTGCAACAGCCAGGGCTAGCCCAGACCAGGAGCCAGGAGCCAGGAGCCAGGAGCCAGGAGCCAGGAGCCAGGAGCCAGGAGCCAGTTACTGCTTCCGAATCTCCCACACAGGGGGCGGGAGCCCAAAGAGTGAGTCATCTCGCCATCTTGCACTGCTTTCCCAGGTGTATTAAGAGGCAGCCGGAAACGAACCAGCACTCATAAAAGATGCTGGCGCCCCAGGCTTCAGTGCAACCCGCTGTGCCCCAATGCCCTGCCCCCCACCACAGGATAACTCTTAGGTGTGAGGTCCTCACCACCTCCCGGCGTCCGCAGCAGGACAGAGCTGCAGGTGCCCCCCGCGGGAACTTGCTCAGTCACGTTTTGCCCCGTGGAGGTCCCGTCTCACACACTCCCCGGAGACAAAGAGAGTGACGAATCTGATTGTCGAGTTGGGGCAAAGAGTCCAGGCCTGGGGCGAGGGAACTCAGTCTCTTCTGGGGCCCCCTCTGGGAGGCAGCCCAGCCAGCAGAAGCACCTCCCAGAAGCCCGATGGTCTTCAGCTGTGCCTGTAGCCGCGTGCGGGAGACGAATGCTGGGGCCGGTGTCAGTGTCAGCGAGACGGCTGTGGTGACAGATTGCAAGCTTCATCCAGCAACACAGCCCTTTCTGCAGTAAGGGACGTCTAGAGCGCCAGCTTTCGGGCATTGCTGTCTGTTCACAAGACCCCAGTATCTATCACTATATCCCCAGACCCTAACAGTGCTAAGGGCGTAAGGGAGACTCATTAATACTTGTTGAATGGAGGGAAGTGACAGAGCCAAGCCCGGGTTCGCCTTCCTCCCGAGGCAATGCCACTTTTTTGAGATCCTGTCTGAGAGAGGAGGCTGGGGACAGACAGAGCGCACAGGGCAGCAGCGGACAGGCGGTCAATGGCTGGAAGCTGTGCCTGGAGAGACGGTGCAAATCCCGCGTGGTGCCCTGCCAGCCTTGGCGCCTCACAACAGCGCGTACTCTGACGCGACAGCTCCACCTGCCTCTCGGGATTGACGTGAAGATGAACGCTTGTTTAGCAAATGACAGCTTCCCCAGCGCCTCCTGCTCCTCAGAGAGCCCGAGCCGCGAGAAACAGAAAATGCAAACAAACCTCACGCTCTGCGTCAAGGCTTGGCCACTGCGGTGCCAGCTGGGCTCAGCTTCGCCCAGACATGGAGGCTTGGCACGGCTGGGGGAGGTCTTCAGCCTGCCGAAGGTGGGGGGCGGGGCAGTGGTGGCCCTGGGCCAGCTGCTCTGAGCACAGGGCCAGGGATGGTTTACACCACGTGGCAGGGGACAGGACTGCAGGCCCCGAGGTCATGAGATGCACAGAGGGAAAGAGGCAGAGCTGAAAGGGTGATTCTGCAGCCGGGTGTCCCCTGAGTGCTCCCAGCTCCTCATCCTTCCCCTTCTCCCCTCCTCCACTCCACTGTATCTCCTCCCAAATTGCTCCAATTTTGTTCTCAGGGACTACTTCTGCAGGTGCCCAAACTTGGTGAGAATTGAAAGGAAGGGTTGGGGGGAGCAAGGGAAGGGGGGATGTGGGGTGCACCTGTGCGGCAGGTACCTGCTGTGGGGCTGCAAAGTCTCTGTCCGTGGTGTTCTCAAACTCCCAGCTCCTCTCTCTCTGCTTGTCCACAACGACAGCGATGTGCTAACAGAACTTGCTCAGCTGTGAGTGAAAAGATTGCCTGACGGAGCCAGTGCTGTGGCGTAACGGTGGAGCCGCCGCCTGCAGTGCCAGCATCCCATAAGGACGCTAGTTCGAGTCCCAACTGCTCCACTTCCCATACAGCTCTCTGTTGTGGCCTGGAAAAGCAGTAGATGGCCCAAGTCCTTGGGCCCCTGCACCTGCGTGGGAGACCTGGAAGAAGCTCCTGGCTCCTGGCTCCAGATCAACGCAGTTCCGGCCATTGTGGTCATCTAAGGAGTGAACCAGCGAATGGAAGACCTCTCTCTCTCTCTCTCCCTCTCTCTCTCTGCCTCTCTGTAACTCTGCCTTTCAAATAAATTAAAAAAAAAAATTACCTTGTGACAGGCCTCTAGGTGGGGCTCAGCCAGTGAGTGGCCCAGCTGCCTTGCGCTGCTCACCCCCTGCATTGGGCCTGAGACAGGGGAAGCACCCTGGGGACTGTGGACACAGTTTACGTATGTTTGTATGTATGTATGTATGCATGTATGTATTTGGGTGTATCTCATAAATACAACATTAGGAGCACAGTAATTCTTCCCACTGTACCTGCCCTCCCACCCCTCTTCCTTTCGGGGACACAGTTTTGAAACCAGGCCTTCCTGGCTTTTGAACTCCCACCCATGCTTTCTGTACATCCCCACCCCACCGCGGCCCCCGGCTTCTGTACGGGTCCAAGAGCCAGCCCTGTGGCTGTGAGAGGCCAGTCGCCTTGTGGCCGGAAGCTCAGCGCCCTCTCCAGGAAAGCAAGAGCAGGTGGAGTCCCTCCCGCGTCCCCCGGCAGCCCTGGGCGTGCAGGGGGCTCTGCGGGCTGGCACACAGGTGACACAGGCTCACGTGCAGGCACGCCCTGCTCTCCTGGGCCTCCAGGGATTCGCTTCCTGGTAAAGCAGCCTCTTGCTGCCCAGGACTCCAGCCCCAGCTCGCCCCCACCCCCAGTTCCCAGAAGCGCCTGGAACAGTTAGCTATTTTTGCACCTTTTTGCTACACTTCACAATTTGGGAATCAGGCAGTGGGCGGGGCCTAGAGGCAGGTCTGTCCGTGGTAGCAGGTGGGTGGATGGATTGTTCTGGAAGCTTTACTTACTTACTGGGGATGGCGGGCAGGTGGTCTCAGATGGGCTGCACTTCGCACCTCTTGTTGGAATGGGGGGGCGGGGTCAAACCTTCAACGCCAGGCTTTCAAAGCATCGCGATGACTCAGCTGTCCAAATTTTCCCACAGCCCTCCAGGCCCCCACCCGTTCCATGCTCCTCTCCCAACCGCAGCCACACTGCCACCAGTGAGGCAGCCAGCGCTCACCTCTTCTCCCAGAAACCATCTGAAACATTCATTTGTCCAAAATGTCAGGGCCTTCACACGTGACTCCCCAGAGGGGCATTTTCACTTTAAAATTGTGGCCCCAGAATGGTGTGACATAGCCAAAGGAATGCATTGCTAATGGTGGAATCTCAGGCATTTACCACAGGCCAGTGGGGGGTATATTTTTCAGCCAAGGGACTTTCCTGCTGCTGTTTCCAACTGGCTGTTCTGTCTACCCTGAACCCATAAACACTGACGTGTAGTCGCTGTGGCTCCCAAAGCAGCCCGGACAGCAGCCTCTGCACCCCAAGATGATGTAGAAGGCGAGGGAGGAGGTAACGGGGCCCGGGCAGTGCTGCTCTGCCGAGACAAGGGGTGGCGTTAAAGAGAGTGGGCACAGAACTCAAGTTTGTTTGAGATGTCAATGATTCACGTAGCACCGCTTCGCTCTGAGCTCGCTGCCTTCTTTTCCTTGTCATGGGGTTGCCCGGCACTAACAAACCTGTGTGTTAGAAACAAGGTGCGTGGCAAAATATAAAATAAAACAAAAATCAGCCTAAATGGCCTGATCTACAGTGCAGTCATGCTAATTTTAAGTCGGGGGGGGGGGGTGTGTGCAAATCCAGCCCTTCCCCCCTTCCATCGCTCACAAACACACAACCACACACACGCGCAGCCTCCATGGCCTTGCTTACCTCATTCGTTCCCTTGGTTCGGTGCAGCCCAATGACGCACGAAGCAGGGATTGGCCAGTGCAGCTCTGTCTTGGGAGGATCCACTTCAGAAATTTCCACACAGATGCCTTTTTCATGCCGCCTTCCTCCCTGATCCCAAGCTTTTCTAAATCAAAGCAGGTAACAGGCAGTTTCAGGGGGAAGACATGGAGACTTCTAGAAGGTTCTGAAGGGAAGAACCAAAGACATTACGAGTAACTTTAGGTGAGCACTTACTATGTGATGGAACAAAGACAGAAGCCTCAGCCATTCTTGCTCACTGCCCAAGAGACCGATAAACATTGCGATATAATCCTTGCCCCTGAATCTCAGCTGGGTCACACACCCTATTGCCTTCATGCCCCACCCTCATTCTTTTCCTGGTTCCCAAGGCCCCGCCCAGTTCCAGGAATTCCCCTCCACCTGCTGCCCCCCACCCCCACCCCTACCCCTAGCCCTCCTAAGATATAAAAAGGCCGGGCCCCTGGGGGTCAGGGCCTTCTGCCCCGTGTTCCTTCAATGTGCACGTGGGCAGTTGGTCACCCACCTGTACGGATTTATTTTCTCTGAATAAATTCGGTCTGGCTGTCAATTCGTACACTGCCTCCTCTCTATTCCGAGCCCCTTTTCCTAACATTTATGGTGCCCCGTGTGAGGCGGCACCAATCTGCAACTCTTTTCCTAACACTATGTGCGGGCACCATTCTAAGTTCTTTTCCTGCAGGCTCATTCGACTGTCAAGACAACCTGTGAGACAAGCCGAAGCTATCCTGCTCCGCTGGATGAGGACTCTCAGGCAGGGAAAGGTGAGGTTCAAGGCCCGAAGATGCAAAGCTGGTGACAGCGGCCGGAGGGGACCCCAGGTGGTGTGGTTCCAACGCCTGTTAGCACATGAGGACACGCGCTCCTGCGCTTCTGGGCTGAATTCCCAGGAAATTCAGCCCAGAGCTGATCCCCAATAGACAAGGGGCCTTCAGCTGTCCAGTGAGGGAGAACCAAGAAAGCAGGCTCAGTGAGTATGGCCGTGGGTGGCTCCATTGTTGCAGCATGCAGGTGGAAAACACAACCAAATGGCCTTGTCGCAAAAATCAGGAAGGAGGATGACAGCTCTGAGTCTCACTCTGGCCTCTCCAAGCCTCTGGGCCTTCCAGGAGCATTGTTTTCAAGTTGCCCAAAAGCTGCCGCTCCCTCTCTTTCCACGCATGAGCACTTCACTTTGCCTGCTATTGGGCTGAGTTGTTTACGGCCCTGGGCGTGTCGGACTGCAAGGGCCGGTGCTAGGAGCCAGGAAACCTGAGGCCGACCTTCTTGATTCTGTTGCGACTTGCTGGGGGCTCTTGGTCATGTCTTTTCTCTCCCTCTGCATGTCTGTCACTTCCTCAAGAAACGAAAGCGTTGGACTATTTCATCTCGAAGGTCCCACGAGACCTGAAATCTTATGAGTCTTCGATGAATCAGAGAAATGAGTCAAAAACACCTTGGAAACCCCAGCAGCAAAAGCTAGAGAGACTTGGAGAGGATAAACGGAAGAAAAGCAACCATTTTTTTTTTTTTTAAGAATTATTTTATTTATTTGAAAGACAGAGTTACAGAGAGAGGTAGAGACAGAGAGAGAGAAAGGTCTTCCATCCACTGGTTCACTCCCCAATTGGCCGCAACGGCCGGAGGAGCTGTGCCGATCAGAAGCCAGGAGCCAGGAGCTTCCTCTGGGTCTCCCACATGGGTTCAGGGGCCCTAGGACTTGGGCCATTCTATACTGCTTTTCCAGGCCACAGCAGAGAGCTGGATCGGAAGAGGAGCAGCAGGGACTAGAACCGGTGCCCATATGGGATGCCGGCGCTTCAGGCCAGAGCTTTAACCTGCTGTACCACACCACCGGCCCCAGAAAAGCAACCATTTGGAAGCGGGAGATGGGGAGATGAGGTTGTGGGATTCTTGGCTGCAGAAGCATTCTGCCCTCCCAAAAGCCTCTCTTGCCTCAGGGGACTGTGAGTTGAAATCCCTTTAATTGGGACAACTAGCAGACTAATTTGCATCCAGAAAGATTTAAATGTCAGTTCTCCTGGGAGACAGAACTGTTTCATTGACTTAAATTCATGCTAACATGTAAATGACTGAATCAACATTTATTCCAAAGAGTAGGTTTCTCCTTTTTGTTAAAAAAAAAATGTTTAGTTCTGTGTTTTATTTATTTGAAAGGCAGAGACAGAACACACAGAAACAGAGAGAGAGAGAGAGAGAGAGAATCTCTCACCTTCTGGTTCACTGATGCCCACAACAGCCAGGGCTGGGCCAGGCCAAAGCCAGGAGCCCAGAACGCCATCCACATGAGTGGCAGGACACAACCCAGGGTGCCCGTTAGCAGGAAGCTGGAATAGGAAGCAATGGCCTAACCGCTGTGTGGAGAGGAGATTTCAAAGGATGAGGAGCCGGTACACAGGATCCCAAAGATAGGAAGAAGAATGGGCAGTGCCAGGTGCAGCCAGGCAAGGGCTCTGAAGGAGCCCAAATAGCTCCACAGTGCTTGGCCCGCCCCACCCCCCGCCCCAGGCAAGGAGCTGGGTCCGTGAGGTTTCTGGTCTTGAGAACGAGGTAGGAGAGGGCAGTGTAGCTGCATCTGGAGCCTGCCTTGTGCCCGGGGATGCAGCCAGCAAGATGACCTCGTTTCCAGCTGGGGGCGAGGGGAGCCGCAGTGCCCCGCTGGCCTGGAGCCCAAGGCAGAGGGGCCCGGGGCAGGCAGCGGGGATGTGCTGAGCCGGCGGGCTGCGGCCGCCCCGTGCCTTGCGTGCGCTCACCTTGGCGGAGACGAGTAAGCATCTTGTGTATGAAGCCGCTGTCCCCGGGGGCCGTGTTGCCTGTGATTTACTCACGGGGGAAGACATTTGTTTCGCAGTGCAGAAGCCACGCGAGAGCCCTTGTGATGAATGGAGAGGCATCCGCACCCGGGCTGCCGGGATTCTGGCCCTGACAGTGACCCTGATGCTCTGAGCCGCAAGGAGGGCGCAGGGCGTGGAGGTGCTGAGGCCCAGGTGCCGGTGGGGGGGCCAGGCTCATGATGCCGGGGTGGGGGGGTTAGAGCCTGGGGGCCAGAGCGCATTTCCTAAGCATGAGCAAGGCGCTCACGCCTGTCATTTCTCAGTTCCCTCCATGAAAGACAGGAGTGCTTCCTGCTGTCAGCCAGCGGTGAGGTGAGGTGAGGTGCAGAGGACCACGGCTGGGGGTGCTCCAGCTGCCCTCTCCGCCCCTTCCTCAGCCTCTGCCCTCCTCGGGCTTGGCTGTGGTCCCCAGGCTGAGCCCAGGACCCTGGTTCTCACCCAGCCCCACAGGGCAAAGGCTGGTTTCCCGACCACACTGCCCTTCCAGGAGCCCTTTCTGCTGATGGAGACGGCTGAATCTTCTGTTAATGCGGCTGCTGGAGCCAGGATTGGGGACCGCCACCGTGGGAAGGCAGGCACGGCGGCCCCGAGCTTCAGGGCATTGCCAGCAGCTCCGTGAGCACCGGGGCACCCAGCTGGGCAGCTGTTAGGTGCTTGATGCAGCAAGAGCGAGGCCCCGGATCCCGGGGCTCAGGGTCAGGATTCTAAAGGCCCACAGCAATGGGGGTGCCCGCCACCACCGCCCCCCTGCCCCGTCACTTTGGAACTGGCCAGGGAATAAAGCAGGCAGCATAGCAGCAAGATTCCCCCAGGAGTCCAAGTCCAAGGTGCCGAATTGGCTAGGAAGACCAAGCGACAGTCCCTCTCCTGCGACCTGGGCTCCAGGTGGAAGGGACCAGCGCTGGCCTAGGTCTCCAGCAGCTTCGTGACTTCTTGTCCACCGCCTTGCGCTCCAGGATATGGCACGGGCTCAAGGCTTGTGACAGCTCTCTGGTGGGAAGTGAAGGACACGTGGTGACTTCCGGAATGCAAATAGAGTAAGTATGCGCGCTGTGGTAGGGCACCTAAGGGCATGCAGATGACGCCAGGTGGCCTGCTGGGGAGGGGGCTGGCTCTAGAGGACCTGCGGCAGGTTTATGGTTCCCAGGTTAGCTAAAGAGGCGGGGGACGGCTTCGTTGCAGTTCTCGTGTTGTGCTGGGGAGATGGTATCACTAAGACCAATCTGAAGCCAGGAGCCAGGAGCTTCCTCCGGGTCTCCCATGTGGGTGCAGGGCCCCAAGGACTTGGGCCATCTTCCACTGCTTTCCCAGGCCACAGCAGAGAGCTGGATTGGAAGTGGAGCAGCCAGGACTAGAACCGGCGCCCATATGGGATGCTGGCACCGCAGGCAGCAGCTTTACCCGCTATGCCCCAGTGTTGGCCCCAGCTGGGCCTGTTTGTGTCGCTCACTGCATTGATGACATTGGATCACTCAGAGGCCCCCCGAGGACTTGGCCGGGGACCAGATCGTCTCAAGAGTCAGTGTGTGCAGTGCAAGGAGTTCACAGAGAACCCACAGAAAATGCGCACTGTGAAAAAGCAATGCACAGACATGCACGCACCAAAATAAACACCTCTTTAAAAAATATTTATTTTCATTTTATCTGAAAAGAGAGAGAGAGAGAGAGAGACAGATCTTTGACCTGCTAGTTCACTCCCCACTCCACGCCCAGTGTCTGAAATAGCCAAGGCTGGGCAAGACCAAAGCCAAGAGCCTGGAACTTCATCCGGGTCTCTCACGTGGATGGCAGGGACTTTAAGCACTGGGGCCGTCACTGGGGCTTCCCAGGTGCGTGCTAGCAGGAAGCTGGAGTTGGAAGCAGAGTTGGGCAGCTCAACTAGAGCGCCAAGCACCTGCCCCTAAACCAAACTTTTAATTCCGTTTCCATGAAGTTCCCAAAGTGCCCTCGTATCTCCAGATGCGCACTGGGTGCTTACTAAGGAGCCATGGACACAAGCATCCCGGGAGTGTATGGGAAGCACGGAGGTGACCATCCTCTGCAGCACAGAATTCTGGGGTCTTTATTTTGGTCCTCGACACGAAAGCCACAAGGTGCCACCGTGCTCTGACTCAGGAACCCACCGACGAAGCAGCCCCTGCATGCGTTTCCATGGAGCTCACTTCTCTCATCCGCCTTGACGTGGTCTCCCTTATACAATGGAGGGAGCATTCTTCCATGCTAATCCAATTTCCACAGCACAGTGCTAAGAGCAGCGAGAGGCCATCTCCAGCCGCCTATTTATGAAAACAATAGTTCAAGTTTATGGTATTAACAGTAACCACAGCCACTTTGCTCCCTCTGCCACCAGCCTCTCTCCTCCCACGGATAGACACACACACATCCAGACACACGCGCAAACTCACAGAAATATACCCCTTCCTCCCAAGCAGGCACAGGGCTCAGAGACAATGGTGTGCACACAGACTCATGGGCACACA